AATAATCTAGTTCTATGTACAACTACAGAAATCAAGCAATGAAATCTAAAGAAAAATTACATGATAGAGTTATTTAATACAAAGTTGAGGATTTTTACGGTGTTAATATTAAATAATTGTTATAATATTGAAATTTCACAACTAATTACCATAATTTTAACAAAAAATTTCTGAAAAATTATTAACAAACATCTAGCTATATATATAAATATTATCCAAAATAATAAATCTTGTAATGCTAATGTTAAATGAACTGGTTACAATATTTTGTAGTTTCAATTCTAAAAAAATATAAAATATGCATAATATTTAGATTTGATGCAAAAACATATAAAAAGAGTAATATTACAGAAATCTCACTTACCGTTGCTCGATCTACTCATTGTGATGAGAGAAAAAATGTTAACAAAAGAGTAGAGGAAAAATGTTAACAAAGGGCCGGGGTAGAGAGGAAACTGCTGTCCGAAGAGGAAGATGAAAATGAGAAGCCAGGGGGGGGGGTCGGCAGGATAGATGAGCAAGGGTCAAACTTGCCGACACAAAATTCACATTACAACAGGTTTTGCTCGATCAGCCCCATCATCTACAGGCGGGAATCTTCTCAACAAACTGAGAAAAAGCCTGCATCAGCTGGCGAGGCGTGAGGAGTTCAATTTGCTTGATTACCGACGAAAGCATAGTCGGTATAAAGCAACTTTACCGACAAGAACCTCATCGGCACTAGCTCTTCCTGCTCACTCCCCCCCTAAAAGCTGATGCAGTAGTATTTCCTAGAAATTTGCAAGTTACCAACGAAATAATAGTTGCAGAATATCACCATCACCAACAAGAAATTCATCGGTATTATGAAAGGCCTGAACTTCCTGCCACGACCCTGAAAAGCTACTGAGTGTTTATATTACCAAGAATTCTCCAACTTACCGACAAGATTTTTGTTGGAGATGCTGCAAATTACCGACGAAGATCTAGTCGGCCTGTGAGCTCTGTCTCACTCACCTGAAAAATCTGCCGGAGCTGGCGGAGTGGATATTCAAAATTAATACCGACAAGAAACTGGTGTGTAATTTTAAATTTACCGACGAAATATTTCTCTGAAATAAGAATAATGTAAATTAATTTCAATATTACTGTTTTTGATGGTTCAGACATGATTTTTGTCGGTAAGTGATTCATTTACCGACTAATATTTTCCATGTCGGTGATTTTTGGTCGGTGATAATGAGTTTTCTTGTAGTGTACATCAGTTTTTAGTTAGTATAAAATTTGTTTTTAATGTTTAAATTACAAGAATTAATTTGAATTTAATGAAAATATTTAGGAGATAAGTAAAGGGACCATTTCTTTTTTCTTTTTTAATCAATTCTTAAAATAAATAATTTTATTTGGGTATAAAAAAATTTTACATTAATTGTAATTTTTTGAATAATTTATATTTTATTTATTCAATAGTTAAATTTAATATTTTAATTTAAAATACCTTAATATCTGTATCTATATATAAAAAAACTATATTTTATATGAGATTAGTATTTGTTTATTAGACTTGTAAAAAAAGGTTAAAAACGCTTCAAAATTAGGATATTTTATTAAAGTATTATGAAAAAATACTATTATACTTTTCATTTTTACCTTAAAAATATGTTAATTTAATCTATTTATTTTAATTAGAGTTTATTAAAAGAACATAGTGTGAAATATTTTTTTACATAATTTTTTCCTAGATCCAACTTATTAACATTTTTTTATTATTTTATATTATTTGTTTAAGAGTATTGAATTGTGTGTTACTAAAAATAATTAAATATATTTAATAAATTTCAAATTTGACATGTATGTTATAAGTAATATATTTACATATAGAATTAGTGATTAATATAAAAATTGTTATAATTTTTTAGGATTTAACCCCTTTACCCAAAAGTCTTATTCTATCTTTATTATACTTTAAATACTATAATATTATATTAGTAATACTCTATAAAAACAATGAAAAGGTATTTTCTAAGTTAGATCATTTATTAAAAGTATAATTTAATATTAAAATATATTTAATAAACTCTTTTTATGTATATTTAGTAATAGTAATTTAGTATTTTTAATATTAAAATTATATTTTTAATGTATAATCTAAATTCAAATATAAAAAATTTTAATAATATATTTACATGGAGGAAATAAAGGAGAGAAAAGAAAGGAGGGGAGAATTTTATCCCTCTCTTCTCCTTCCTTTTCTTCCCCTTATCTAAATAAGTTAATAAAATAAATAAAATAAAATAAAAATCATTTTTCTCCTTCCCCCACTTCTAATGTTTTTATAACTAAATAAAAAAATTTTATACTCCTCATTTCTCTATTTCTCTCTACCTGCAAATATTTATAGTAAAAGCAAAATATGAAGTCTCAATCAATATAATTATAAATGAGTCCGCTGTTTTATTTGATTACAAAACATTTAGTTTTTACTGCAGACACAAAAAAAAAAAAATACTAGCACCATCGCAGAACATAAAATAAATTAAAAAAATGGCTAAAAAAGCAATAAAAAAATAATAAGTTGCCAACGTGTTATGAGAGAGGACTGAAACTTCAAAGCATTAACTTTCTCTGCTCGTCGTTGCCTCAGCAAGTCCATTCTCCAATTTCAAAGGTAAATCTCTGTTCGTTCAAAAATTTTCCAACTATTCTGCATAATTTTCTTCATCTTGCATTCTTTGATCGCATCAATTAGCTGACAGAAGTGCAAATCAGATAGATTTTTTTTTTTTTTTTGAGTTTTCTCAATTTTTTCTTTTTCTTGGTTCTTTTCCTGCTTTTTGAAGTTCGAATGGTATCAACTGGGCTTAACTAAATCCAGATGTCGATTTTCGGTTCATTTTTTCATTATATTTAACAGATCTTTTTGCGTTTCATGTTAAAATTAGAATTTTGGGTATTTAGGTTTTGAAGATTTCGTGACGTGGTCTTACTATAATTATTGAAATTTTCAGATTTTCGTTGACTGTTAGTTTGTTCTTAAAATTACAATTATATATATATATATATATATGCACTTAAGCATGTTTTGCTTCAGTTAATTTTGTATGTACCTGTTGTTCGTGTGTTTTCGTCTTTTACTTCATTTGCCCGCTGATAAACCCATCCTGATGACAGAACCTAGGTTGTTCATAAAATGAGAAAAAGGAGGGGACATGATATTGGGTTCTCAAAATTTAAGTTATTTGTTTTGCAGTTTACAATGTTCTATGTTCTGTGGATGAATTTTAGTTATTATTATTGTTTTTAAAAGTTCTTTCAATTCACAACAGAGAGACTGGATTTCTTTCTCCTGAGTTGTAGGGCTTTTAAGTTAGTATTTTGGTTTCTAGAGTTCTGGAGCTCTGGAAGATAGAGGATCTGCATGGGCTTGTGGATTAACTGTTTGGGTATTTGTTCGATGCTTTAGGTAGAGTTATTATATGTTTCAGTTGGAGTATTTTAACTAATTAATAATGTAATTCCATAAATTTTAGCAGCATTGAATTTTACTGCACTTGGTTCCCTGCGATGATAAAATAGAAACTAGAAATTTGGGCCAGATGATTAGAATTTTTTTTATTTAATTTTGTTATTTATTTATTTGCTTGTTGGGGGCTTCAGGGATTTCTTAGAAATGGGGAAAGGAAAATGAATTCTATTTTTTTGGAAATTCTTGGCTGGTGATACATGATTATTGCTTTAGGTTTTTCTGGTATTTGTAGGTTTTATGAAAACTTATTGAAAATCTGGGTTCAGGAATTTAAGGGATTGTGAAGATGAGCAACAATTTGATGGACAAAGTCAGCGCATTGGGCGAACGCCTTAAGATCGAAGGGGCTGAGGTCAGCCGGAAGATGAGTGCAGGCATGAGCTCAATGAGCTTCAAAATGAAGGAGTTCTTCCAAGGCCCTAATCCTGCTGATAAGCTTGTTGATGATGCCACCTCAGAGGCGCTTGAGGAACCTGACTGGGCCATGAATCTTGATATCTGTGACATGATCAATCATGAGAAAGTTAATAGTGTTGACTTGATCCGTGGTGTAAAGAGGAGGATCATGATAAAGAATCCTAGGGTTCAATACTTGGCCCTGGTGTTGCTTGAAACCTGTGTCAAGAACTGTGAGAAGGCATTTTCAGAGGTTGCAGCTGAGAGGGTCCTTGATGAAATTGTTAAGCTTATTGATGATCCTCAGACCGTTGTTAACAATAGGAACAAGGCTTTGATGCTGATTGAATCATGGGGGGAATCAACCAGTGAGCTCCGTTATCTTCCTGTTTATGAAGAAACTTACAAGGTAGCCAAATATCTTTAGTCTTGTGGTACATCAGAATAAAACTGTCTCTAATTTAGCAAAAGATTAACTTCATTCTAAGTTCTAGCTGGAACTTTTATTTAATTCCCTCCGGCAGTACCCTTGTCGGCCCCTTTCCCCATCTCTTATATTTTCAACCTCGCATGATGAAGTCATAGTTAGTTTAGGCTTCATTTAGTTTGGTTGATATTTTTGGTGTTTGGTTTTGGTTTTGAAAAATTTAGAAACCCTAGAATAAAATGAAGAAGTTTTATAAATTAATTCAATTTGAAGTTTTGGGTATTAGTTCTAAAAATTTATACCCAAAAAGTAGGCAGTTTTAATATTTAGTTTTGGTATTCAATCGCTGATTTTAATTGTTTGAATTTTGACAACCAAAAACCAAAAACTACAACCGTACTAAATGGAGCCTTAGTTATCAGGTTTTCTGCAATTCATGGAATGAAAACTTTTCACTCCTGAAATATGTATCAGGTTCGGTTAAGTTCTTAAAAGTTCATTTTTAGACATTTCGAATGAGCTCTATTAGTGTTCCCATTGAAGAGTTCTTGTATACTGTGAGTTCTTAGATTGCATTGGTATTTTGAAATTATTTATGTTGGAATAAATTGCATAATGAATTATGTTGGTTGCTAAGCAGGTATATGATTTTTTAATGCGTTTTAGCTCTTCTTTTTGTTCTTAGAGCTTAAAATCAAGGGGTATTCGTTTTCCTGGTCGTGACAACGAGAGTTTGGCACCTATTTTTACACCTCCGCGGTCAGTGTCAGAACCGGAAGTCGATGCTACCCTTGAACAGCAGCTTCAGCGCAATATTCCTGCTCAAAGCTTTACTCCTGAACAAACAAAGGAAGCATTTGATGTGGCAAGAAACAGTGTTGATCTTCTTACTACTGTTTTATCCTCATCACCACAACAAGATGTTCTGGAGGTAATTTCATCTTATTTTAACACTTCTCTGTTTCTCAATAGACTTTATTTATTATTTTCCTAATTCTATAGTCTAATTTTCATAGAGTTGTTTGTGTAATGGGTATTCTTGGTTTTAAGTGGACATTATTCATTCTTCCTTCATATTGTACTTTAATTTACATAGACATGCAGATGTGTGATAGGTAACATGCTCATGCTACTTTATATAGGCACTAGCATTGTAATTTGACACAGAACTTTTCTTAATACTCTGCTTCTAATGAAGTGATTTCCTAAATGCCAATATGGTTCTTTTTCATAAAGCTGATACTTTTTTTCCATACTTAGATTGAGTCACAGCCATTCTATTTTACAGCTTTTATAAATATATGCTGCTTCTAATCAAGTGATTTCTTAAATACCCATGTGTTTCCCTTTTAATAGTGCAGATACCTTTTTTCCATGTTTAGATTTAGTACTTGGTCCTTCTAATGTGCAGTACTTCAAATCCATGTATTTGTCATTTTGACTATGTTTTTAGACTGTCTCAGCTCTAACGTGCTAGAGATTTTAATTGTCATACCATCTAGAATGCTTTATTGGTTTCTGATTAAGAGCACATACATAGCAATGATATTTGTTTCAATATTAATGACTGTGAATAGGTGTTCATGTTATTATTTGACCTTTAGGACTGATAACATGTATTAATTTCTTATGTAGTTGAAAATCTTGAGCACCCTGAATCACACTAATTTCACGTGTTTTTTTTTTTTTTT